ATAGTTTGCTGAAATCATTACTGTAAGGGAAATGTCTTGTTTCCAGTGTATGCATATATATAATTATATATATATTATATATATATATATTATATATATATATTTATATAACATGTAATGGTTTCGCATGATGGTGAGGCAAAGGTTTCTGCAGAAGCAGCGCCGGGCTTTCAAAAACCAGTCTACATAACGGAGGCAATACAAGCAGTGCATATATGCCGCAGAACGCAAAGATGCGAAAGGATATAAGCAAAGCCATTAAGCTCAAAATGGAACTGTGGTCAACACGGAACCAGCACTTTCATACGGAATTTGCTCATCTCGCTGAAGCAAGTTTCACCTTCGAAGGGGTTGACGGCAAGGTCAAGCGCCGGCAAGCACAGCGGCCCCACAGAACCTATGAGGTGGGATGCATCGCTGGAAGACAATGGACATGCCGAATCAAAACGAATGAACAGACATGGAACACGTGGATGTTCTGGTACTAAGCTGTTCTGCCTGAAACATCCTGGGACTAAATTGATTTTATTCCTTCTGGAAGTTACAGATTATTCTGCATTTGCCAAGCACGTTTGCTTCAAACTAGACCGTGTTTTCCTGTTGTAGTAGGTTTGAACGCGAACATGTTTGAATATGCTTTGGTAAAAAGACAAACATATCATATGCAGTATACGTATGCGTGGTTTGGTCATGTTTACTCTGAGAGGTCTGGCAGAAAAGCAGGCCAGTGAGCTTTGTGTATGTGTGATCATCTTCTGTGTATCCTCTAAGGCTCCCCTTGCGGCTGCAATCAATACACATATCATACATACCGTACCTCCATTGATCCTTCTCCCATCCTAAAGCGCGAGATAAACCAAGAATACGTATATTCGTGAGCTAGTTGCTTGAAGGGTTTGTTGGATCTTTGCTGAGATCATTATCGTATTACTCATCGTCATCCTCCCAACCATGACCATGAGAACTCTACTGTGGAAGAGTTAAAATGTTGCAGAGTTTGGTGCACTTACATATTTATGCCTCTATAGAATATTATATAATATTGTATATATATATATACAAATTGTAGAGCTTCGCACACCGGCGACGCCGGTAGGGGTCGGGGGAGGGAAAGAGAGAGGGGGATGTCATCTGAACTTGCGAACATGACATGCTGAGGGTCGGCGGCCTATCTTGGGGCTATGTTGGCCCATCTTGAGGCTATGTTGGCCTATGCCTAGTGTTGTAATTTACAGCATTTTGTGCAGTGAGATGGTAAGAACCCGTGTAAATACCACAGTTTTAGTCCCCGAAAGTGGCTAAAACACTCTTATTTACAGAGTTTCGTTCACATCACGATCTTCGATTTTTTGAAAAACGTGTAAATACCAGCGTTTTTTTGCATTCATCAAGACAAAAAATCGGTTCAAAAAGTGCAAAAAATGCTGTAATTTACAGGGGAGTGGCCCCGTCACAAGCAAAAAACTGCGTAAATACCAGCGTATCGGCGTCCAAAAGTTGCCAAAACACCGCTATTTACAGTGTTTCGTGCCTTCCACGTTTGCTTGAAATTGCAGAAACATTGTAAATACCAGCATTTTTTGCGATCAACCCGCCAAAAATGCTGTAATTTACAATGTTTTTTTGCTTGGCTTTCAAAAACACTAGTATTTGCAGTGTTTTGTGCATCTCGGGTCCAAAAAGTACTGGTATTTACAGCATTTTCTGCGTTTTTGCATGGCTCCCGCCAACGACGTTAAAACGCAAAAATGTTGTAATTTACAGCATTTTGTGACTTCCGAAAAACGAAAAATCGTCCGAAAAATGTGTCAAAACGGTACTTTTTTCCGATTTTTGGGACCTCCAAAACGCATCTTCAAATTTCACCCTCTTTTTTCCCACCCCGAACCCCCAAAAACGTGAAAACCCCAGCAGGCTGAAGGATTTTGGGGGAGGGTCGGCGGCAGGGGCGCGCCCCCGGGTAGCTAAAGCTATGCTTAGCTTCCCCACACTACACGGCGAGGCATCGCCGGATTAAGCGCTTACGGGGCAGCCGGCCAGGGGCCCAACTATGTTGGCCCATCGTGTGGCTATATGTTGGCCTATGTTGGCGTATGTTGGCCTATCTTGCGGGCAACGAGGGCCCATCTTGTGGCTATGTTGGCCTATGTTTGCCTCATGTTGGCCCATGTTGAGCCAAAAGATCCGAAAAATGGGAACAGCAAAAAAACGCTGTAAAACGCAGGATATTTTGAGGGTCGGCGGCCTATCTTGGGGCTATGTTGGCCCATCTTGGGGCTATGTTGGCCCATCTTGGGGCTATGTTGGCTCATCTTGGGGCTATGTTGGCCCATCTTGGGGCTATGTTGGCCCATCTTGAGGCCTATGTTGGCCCATCTTGAGGCCGATCTTGGCCCATGTTGACCCATCCACCAGATCCGAAAAATGGGAAAAAATGCAAAGAGCACAAAACACCGTAAAACGCGGGGGTTTTTGGCGGGCAAAGGTGTCTCCGGCAGGGGCGGCGGCCCCTCTCTCCTACGGAGAGGAGAGAAACGCCTTCGGCTACGGCCAGGGGACCCCTGGCCGGATTTAAGCGCTTACGCGCGACAGCCGGCCAGGGGCCCAACTATGTTGGCCCATTTTGTGGCTATATGTTGGCCTATGTTGGCGTATGTTGGCCTATCTTGCGGGCAACGTGGGCCCATCTTGTGGCTATGTTGGCCTATGTTGGCCTCATGTTGACCCATGTGGAGCCAAAAGATCCGAAAAATGGGAACAGCAAAAAAACGCTGTAAAACGCAGGATATTTTGAGGGTCGGCGGCCTATCTTGGGGCTATGTTGGCCCATCTTGGGGCTATGGTGGCCTATCTTGAGGGCAATGTCGGCCCATGTTGGGGCTATGTTGGCCCATCTTGGGGCTATGTTGGCCCATCTTGGGGCTATGTTGGCCCATCTTGGGGGCTATGTTGGCCCATGTTGGGGCTATGTTGGCCCATCTTGAGGCCTATGTTGGCCCATGTTGACCCATCTGAAACCACAAGATCCGAAAAAGTGCCAAAAACGGGAAGAGCACAAAACACCGTAAAACGCGGGGGTTTTTGGCGGCCGGGGGTGTCGGCGGCTGGGGCGGCGGCCCCTCTCTCCTACGGAGAGGAGAGAACTGCCGTACGGCAAGGACACGGCCAGGGGGCCCCTGGCCGGATTATAAAGGCTGCCGCCCCTGCCGCCGACCCCGAAAAGTTGGGCAGTCTGCCTGTGATCAGGCCAAGCAGCAAAACAGCACCTAATTGCGTGCCGAAACCATGCTCAAACTTACCCACAAAAACTCCCTAACGTCACGTCCCTTCTGAATTCCTAGAAAAAAATCTCTTTTTCTGTCTCCTGCAGCTGTTGTTTGGTGGCTCCAAGCTGCAAGCATCAGGCCTCCAGAACGGACCCTTCGCCACAGCAAAACAGCACCTAATTGCGTGCCGAAACCCAAGCTGCAAGCATCAGGCTTCCAGAAGGGACCCTTCGCCACAGCAAAACAGCACCTAATTGCGTGCCAAAACCGTGCTCAAACTTACCCACAAAAAGTGCCTATCGTCCCTTCTGAATTCCTAGAAAAAATATGTTTTTTTGTCTCCTGCAGCTGTTGTTTGGCGGCTCCAAGCTGCAAGCATCAGGCCTCCAGAACGGACCCTTCGCCGCAGCAAAACAGCACCTAATTGCGTGCCGAAACCGTACTCAAACTTACCCACAAAAACTGCCTAACGTCCCTTCTGAATTCCTAGAAAAAATATCTCTTTTTTTGTCTCCTGCAGCCGTTGTTTGGTGGCTCCAAATTGCAAGCATCAGGCCTCCAGAACGGACCCTTCGCCACAGCAAAACAGCACCTAATTGCGTGCCGAAACCGTGCTCAAACTTACCCACAAAAACTGCCTAACGTCCCTTCTGAATTCCTAGAAAAAATATATCTTTTTCTGTCTCCTGCAGCTGTTGTTGGGTGGCTCCAAGCTGCAAGCATCAGGCCTCCAGAACGGACCCTTCGCCACAGCAAAACAGCACCTAATTGCGTGCCGAAACCGTGCTCAAACTTACCCACAAAAACTGCCTAACACCCCTTCTGAATGCCTAGAAAAAATATATCTTTTTTGTCTCCTGCAGCTGTTTGGTGGCTCCAAGCTGCAAGCATCAGGCTTCCAGAAGGGACCCTTCGCCACAGCAAAACAGCACCTAATTGCGTGCCGAAACCGTGCTCAAACTTACCCACAAAAAGTGCCTATCGTCCCTTCTGAATTCCTAGAAAATATATATTTTTTTGTCTCCTGCAGCTGTTGGTGGCTCCAAGCTGCAAGCATCAGGCTCCAGAGGGACCCTTCGCCACAGCATCAGGCCTCCAGAACGGACCCTTCGCCACAGCAAAACAGCACCTGATTCCTGACGGACGAACTAGCCCGAGAATCGCACCAAAAAAGTCTCCAACGTCGCTTCTGAAACCCATAGAAAATGATGATTTTGGCTACTTTTGTCTTCTGCTGCTGAAGAAGTGTTGCTCACCTACAAAGACACCAGTTTCTTGCCGCTGCTGCTGCTACTGCTACTGCTACACGCCCCTTCTCCTGCTGGTGTGCTCTAGTGCTGCTGCTGCTGCCTTACTGGCTGCGGGCTGCTGCTGCTACAAGCCCCTTCTCCTGCTGGTGTGCTAGTGCTGCTGCTACAACTCTAGCTGCTGGCTGCCGACTGCTGCTGCTACAACTCTAGTGCTGCTGCTGCTGCTCCTGCTGCTGCCACTACTGCTGCTGCTGCCTTACTGCCGCTGGCTGCTGGCTGCCGGCTGTTGTTTGGTAGCTCCAAGCCACAGCAAAACAGCACCTAATTGCGTGCCGAAATCGTGCTCAAACTTACCCTACTACTGCTGCTGCTGCCTTACTGCCGCTCGCTGCTGGCTGCCGACTGCTGCCTACTGGCTACTATTGCCGCTGGCTGCTGGCGACTGGCTATGTGCTGTTCTACCCTATAGAATAGAAGTGGTACTAGTCCGAAACAAGGGTCAAATGTCTTATTCCCCGGCGCGCTCCCCCTTGCGTCTGCCGGGGTCGGCGGATATATAGCTATATCTATAGTTATAAGTTATAACTATCTATAGTTATCTATATGATTTTCTATCGTTTGGGAGTGTTTGCTGGCCAGGGGTCTGACGTGACGCCCTTGGCTTTTGAACCTTTGTGGCAGTGTCCTGCTTGATCAATCACGTTTGTTTCAACCGGGTGAAACACTTCAAAACAGTTCGAAACAGTTCGAAGAAAGTCCAGGATTCAGTGTTTGATCATGTTTGATCTTGGTGAGTGTTCATTAAATGTCATTGACAGGTTGATTCAAAGCGCTTACCATCTTTCACCTGTTGAAACTTCCTTGTGATATGTGCGCACACGGTCGGGCTGGCTGTGCATGTCTAGTCGCACAGCAAAAGTGCCCCCGTGCGCCCTGTGGGTCATGTCCACATAAGGGGGACGCAAAAGCCTCCAGGTCAAGGGCAGTCCGATTTGCACTTGCAGAGCGCCAAGATGTAAAGCGAATTACAATGCTTTGCTATGCTTTGCTTTGCTTGTTTCACCTGCAGCGTAGTTTATGTAGTTTTCAGAATACCTAAGCATGCATTAGCCACGAAGAATCGCAAAAGCATAGATGATCCGTATCGTAAAAAAAACAAACATGTTTGATTTTGATTCACGTGCTTGAGTTGGTTTTCGCTGTCGCAATATAGTGAATGCAAGCCTGTCCTCTTTGTGGCACTGGTCAGGATGCCTGCCCACTCTTAAACGTGTAGTGAGTGGGAGCAGACATGAGCACTTGCGAAGGTCCAGGGAAAGACATTTTGCTACATTGCTACATGCTACATTCATGTCAAGGTCAGAAAGGTCAACGGGACGCATCGTTAAGCCAAGCCATAGACCTCTGGCTTTGGCGATGCCGTTTGCAACCGTCTTCGCAGAGAGTGTTGATTTACTGCCCCACAGAGCAAGTGGGAACATCGCAGTCCACAGTCTTCCTGATCTTCCTGCGCAGGTGTTTAGAATAAAGGCGATTTGGATGGCAAATCTGCAGCCCTTTTGGCTTCCAAGGATTTGGGGGCTATCCGCACATTTGCGGGATTCAAAGAGTCATGCGAAGCGGAGGTGGTGAACTTGAGGCCTGTAAGAGTCTGAAGCTGGACAGAAAATGATCAGAAATGAGCAAAATCTGATCTTTGTGTACAAACAAAACGCGGCATAAACACTGAATTCAAAGCCTTCCTTAGGTGACACTTGGAACATGAAAGAACACTGAACCGATATGTACAGTACAAACGGTACAGCATGGTACAGCGTTGTATAGGAATGTCATGGATGTCTCGTCATTTTTAAAATTGGTTATCCGCAACCTGGATGGAATGGGGTACTTTACTCTGCTCCAGTACCATAATTTAGAAGATTCAGGCCCATACCATATCATTGCACTTTGAAGGGAGCAAAGCTGTGACCTTTGCTCAAGTGCAGTGGTAGGATGAGACGGGTTGCGACATGTTGCGACTATGTTTGTATCAGTAAAAGATGTCAATCGTATCTAGAATGGTTCGCAAAAGTGTTTTGAAGCGGTCCGTCAAATTCCGTAAAACAGTGTCTAAATGTGCTAAACCGTACATATCTTACATATCAAGATAGCAATGAGAAGCGATGACTTTTAACACTCCCACCAGGAGCACATGGCCCTTGCTGGAGAATTTGAAGGTCCTCCGGAGGAGAATCTTCCGTTGCAGTTTGATGTTCGAAGGCCCAAAAGAATTCAAAGAAAAACGTTCAATGAATCTTAATGAAACATAGCGTCCTGGTGCAGAGACTGAAGAGATCCACGAATATCAGAGAATATCTAGTTTTCCAAAAGCAACCAAGTTCAACTACAGAGCTGTACATTCCAGCATATCGAAACAAGAATGTTACATTTTCTCTTTGAGTGCTCCTTTAAAAAATTGTGTTATGAGTCGTATATGGCGCTTACAACAAAGCTAGGAGCCTCATATCACCTTAATTTTGTCACATTTGGAGAACGAATCTCTGGGAAGGACAGGTTTAATTCTGTTTAGTCTTGTAAGATCTTGTAAGAGTCGTGCAGTTTTGTTGTGCCATGCTCCCTGTTGTGCCCATGACGCATTGCAGGACTTGAGCCAGCAGCTGGTTGTCAAGAGCACTTTTCTTGACGTCACGGATGGCCTCAGTGACCTCGTCGAAGAAGAAAGATTGCTAATCAATGTTCATCATATTGCTCATCAATTGCCTAATTGAAAACGAATACAAAAGGGAACAAAATGAAAAAAACGGGAAAAAAAGTTGGCGTACTTTATTACGGGGGGGGTTATTAATCTTTTCCGGGAGTTGGCGTACTTTATTTTTTTTGGGGGGGGTATTAATCCCATGTTGACATTATAGATCCATTTTTCTTCATCCTGAAACGGCGATTCATAGCCGAAATGCGTGCCATTTTTTTTCGAACTCCAGCTTTTTCTTTCGCCGAGATACAGTGACCTACTTTATTCTTGTTCCTGAGAAGAAATGAAAGTGTATGGACCCTGCACCAATAGAAATGGCAGCAGTTGTGGAAACTGCACGCAATGATAACGTAACCCAATTCTTGTTCGCAAACCATGGTGCTTTGTGGGCTAGGGTGTTCCCGAATGTTCCCGAGGCAACTTTACTTTTGCCACTACCCTCGCGTAACTTTTGTAAAATTTTCGCGAAAGTCAGTCTGAACATCTCCAAGTTAAACAGGGATGAATATTGTGTTCACAAGCTTTTGAGCCAAATAATATCTTACTTTAGCAAGCTCAGAAAAAATGATTGCAAGGTGATATTGAAACAGAAGTGGCCATCCTCGTGTACAATCCCTACAAGGACCTTTTGATCAACTCTAATATTATTATATATATATACATATCTAATCATATATATATATATAATTACAATGTATACATATATATATATACATATGTATATACATATATACATATATGCAATTATATGCATACATACTCTGTAGATATAGATTTATTATGAGATATGACATATTGATAGTCTGATAGTGTTCTTCTTTGATACTAAAACACCGGATGTCCAAGTGTTGAGCCAATTGCTTTGCTTTTGCCTTCACTTCTGATTGCGACCCTCATCGCCAAAAACTATGGGAGACCATATAAATCCACAAGCTAGACTCTTCGTGGCATTCTTGAATGACCCGTGCAGGGAAACAATTTGCTAAGTTTCATATAGACAATGTGATAGAATGTGAATGAATGTGATACAGTGTGCATGTTTTTGTTTTTATATGTTTCGTGAGTTTGCCAAGCCACTTAGGTACCATGCAGCGCTTCATGCGGCTCCGGCGTGCGAAGTCGGACTGTACAGTTTTATCCCATGGTCGGTCTTTTGTGCATTATTACCCTGTTGCAGAGCCTTTGCAAGCTTACGATGCTTAGATGCTTACTTGAGCTATGTTTATGTGCATTTCAGACTTTTCATACTGCTTGCATGATCAAAAGTGGGGCAAAGAGCAGGCAAGATGCAGTGTTGGCATCCCAGTTTGGGGTTGTTCCTTTTGCATATCTCTCCCAAATCAAGTGGCTCGTTCTGCTCACACAAAACAGAACATTCCAACGTTGAGGGATATGAAGTATATTGAATTGTAATGAATTATACATAAGAATTGGAAGACAATTCAGCACCAGACACTAAAGACAAGCTTTCGAAGGGAGTTTCCAAACGAACAAATGGAACGCTTTTGATATCGCTCACTGCTCGCAGGATCCGACCCTTGGATGGACTTTCAAGTTAAGCCATCAGGTGGGGCACAGTTGCTGGGGTCGACAAATGTGGGCAATCGTTTCGCACATTTGTATAATAGGTTTAATGAACAAGAGCCTGACTGACCACCGTTTGGAGGCTAGGCAAGTGCAACCGGTGTGTGCAGGATTTGAAGAATGTGCCCTTACATGATTCAGTTGGATTTCTCCATTCCAGAAGGATCTAGATCTTTCAGATACTTAGAGAAGGCACATTTTGTACAAGACAACTTTCGCTGAGAGATACCCTGCCACTGCTGCCAAAAATGGGCGAGACCATCCATCCTGCCCGCAAAACTTGAGCATGTTCAATGAACCTACTTGGAGGAACTAACCGATGAAGCTGAAGAGGATCGAGCAGTAACGTTTCTTGGAGAGTTTCAATGTACTGCCGGCTCCTGATAGCAGTTGGGCAGTGGGGCACGCAGTCATCAGAAGTCTTCAAAGTTGCAGATATGGCAAGCTTGGCACATGTGGTGTAGCCACCAATTTACCCTATAATGCCAAGTTTAATAACCCACCCACCCCCAGAAGGTAAGAGTCCTCCCAATTAAAAAACTAAGGCTGGTCATATACAAACAACAACAACCTGCCTGCCAATGGGTCGAGATTTCTCTTTTCAGTGGCAACCTCCTCCCAATAGGGTGAGATGGTGAGATTGGGCATGGGACATCCCTTCAAAATATTATTTTTGTCAACCATTAAAATCATTAAAAGACAATTAAAACATATTAAAAGCATCAACACATACTTATATCCTGACTACTACAAAATTAGGATTTCTGAGCAGGGTGTTGTTTAATCGGGGGGTCGCACATGTTTATATATATTAATTAATAGGGAGGGACCAACCCAAAGTAGTATTGCCAGACATGTTTTTTTTGAATGTGGGTGTTGATTAATTTGGGAATATGAACTTAACATTATTTATTTACTGTATATAAAGATATTATATATATATATATATTATGATATACAGGAAGACCAGACACTAAGGTTTGCAATTTACGTTCACATGTTGTTCCTTATTTGGTCATAAATCTTATCACATGTTGCATTGATAGAGGCGAAGGAGTTGTATCTGAAATTTGTTGGTTGGATAAGATGGAGAATATACGTTTGGGGAGGTGTCGAAAAAGGGTCGCGGAGTTCCGCCCGGAGGTCTTGAAACGGTCTGTCAGAACACGCAGGTTCGATGTAGGCATTTTTGGCCAACGTTGGGTTCCAAAATGAAACCAAAAGGCAACTACATTCTTTGAATGTATGCAAATATGCTGGACCCTGAAGCGTATGGGATGTGGATTGCGATTGAGCTTGCATGGTTGAGAGAATAGCTACAGAAGGATATAGCACAAATTAGATATTATACGTGGTGATAGTGTGGATACAAGCACCATTTCCATAGATACTTGGAAGAACAAATCTTTTACCAGCGGCCTAGCTTGATGTCGGGGGCCTTGCTTTTTGCGTGATTGCAAGAAAAAGTAGGCGTGATAAATTTTGAGCCTTTCAGTTTTCATGCTTGCCATGTATGATTACAAGAGAAACTACAACACCGACTGAAGAAAGCGCATCATTGGCTTTGCAGAATTTGCCATGATGTCCCTCAGTGCTAGAGTTTGATAGAGTTTGCTTCCAAAGATTTGAGTTTTCAAGCAACTTCTGAAATTGACCAAGTAATATATAGGTACATCCAGTTTAGACTGGGCCTTCAACTTTAGAATACTTTAGGAACCTTAAAGGAACCTGATCATACAGAGCCTTTAGCGACCTTCAAAATCTCCGACTGCGACCTCGTACAATTCGACGTTATTTTTGCACTTTCACTCGACAGATAGGTAATTCGAAAAGTTAGGCTGGCATCGACTCACTAGTTAAGGACAAGTCATGACAAGTCCTAATGTTCACCAATGTTCACCTTCAAACCGGCAAGGCCACATAAGGATCACAAGGATCATAAGGCCACTTCCCACATCTTCCCACATTTTCCCACCATTTTCCCACCATTTTCCACCATTTCCCATCCACGAGGTTGGCAGCGGCCACAGAGGCCGCGGAATCCGAGGATTCCGAAATTCCGGTGCCCTGGCCTGGCGTGTTGATCGTGCCAAGGATGCTCAAACAGTAGAGAATTTTCAAAACGCAAATCGCAAACCATGTCATTTACAGAAAACCAGTCTCATAGAATTTTCAGAAGTGGGACATTGACATGAACATCTCTGAGTGATATCTCGATGATATCTCATGATCTATATTGATCATTATTGGTCTATGTTTCTTTCAAGATCATTCATATTTGAGTATTTTGAGTTTGATGCGTGTATATGTTTGATTTCATCATGTTTGTTGCCTCTCCCTGCCCCTACAGCTGTCAATCCGTCCAGCATTATTTGCGTTTGTTGCTCAGGAGTTGTGCCAACGCTAAGGTGTATTCAAAATCCGTTCTGACAGAGGTAACAACATATCTTTAGAATCCTATCTTGTAGATATTTTTAGCTTCGATCAATATATTTCAACCCTACTTACAAATGCTCATTCTGTCCATGTGTAGAATCTTGGAGCTTTGAGATGCAGATCAGGAGCCGCAAGGGCGGACGACGGTGTGCTTGCGAAATGTGCCCAATAACTACACCAGGTACTCTTGGCATGCAGATGTCACATTCGCAAACACGGACAGAATGCGGGACATATAGGATTTCTTTGAATATCTTTGAATATTACAGTAATATATACCATACTCTTGCTATCTTGCGCTTTCCTTGGCCAAAAGATGAAACTTGCAGTTGCCTTGCTGATTGTTCCCAACTGGTAGTCTGAGGCAAATTCGCTTTTTCGTTTGAGTTCATTCGCAATTATATGTTTTTCCATTTTTTCCCAATGATCTGAGAATCCAACAATTTTACCTCTTTGTATCATTTTGTATCAAAGGACGGCAAAAGTCTAGCATGCAAGTTTTACATATTGGTCACCTGGAAGATAGCCAAGTCAAATATCACTGCCAGGTAGAAAATGTTAGATAAGGAAATCGGCCCTAAATGTTCAGCACTGTTTCACAACGAAGATGGGACACACTTACTCTATCATATTGATTCATATTAATTATATAAATCAAATTAAATAGTATCATGTTCGCGTTATCATGTCCGGACTTGCGTTAATCTTCCACTTTCAGGCAGATGCTGTTGGAGCTGTTGGAAGAGCAAGGGCTCTCTGGACACTTCGACTTTTTATATTTGCCTTGCGACTTTCACCGACATGCAAATCTGGGCTATGCTTTTGTGAACCTTGTGGATGAAGCGACCAAGCTGCACTGAACAGGTGGCTCAAGCGAGTTTCTGCAGAAACCAGTTGACATATTTGATATATTTGACCAGAGCAACTTCAATCAACTCTAGAGCCAACCACAAGACTCTGGAGATGCTCTTCTACGCTTCCTCATAGATGTAGAATTGTACGCACGGACATGTTAATTATATAGACACATTGACAATGCATTGCAGCCTGTTTGAACCTCACGGAAAAAAAAAATACATATTGAAAACATGCGCAGAGCTGTTTGCACAGATTTGGGTGGGTTGGCAGACTATGGCACATCGATGCAAAGAAGATCAAACAGCAGTTTCTGATAGTTTCTGCTTTTATAAAGGATTGAGAACATTGAGAACTCATACTCGTCATACTCATTTAGCAAGCTAATAATACCTTAACCTTGAGCAACCTTGAAAGTCTGCATGATCAAACCGGATGTTGAGAGCACGAGTTACTCCTAAGCTGTACGTACATAGCTGTACCAAGGCCAGCGTCATGCTCTTCTGGAGAATCTTAGATGGCTTCACTGGCTGGGCTTTGCCCACTGCGAAGGTGCTTCCTTGCTTCACTGTGAAGACACAGATCCATCTTGTCCACGGAATTGTTGACACTCACGCTGTTCTGATTTACACATTTGCACTCAAGTACTGTAGATCATTTGATAGTATTGGATCTAAGATGGGTCAAGTATTGGTGAAAGGATTTTAAGCTGCAGTCAGCTGTGCAGTCAGGCTCTTTCCTGTTCATAGCGCCATGGCATTTGTCCAGGTGGGAAAAGTTAGCTTTAGCGGACCTCATCAGGGTCTTCTAGCTCACATTGAGCGCTATCGGAACAGCCCAGTCATGCATAAGAAGCTTGGATTGAAACAAAACGTCGGGAATCGGTGGCAAGGAGGCAGCAAATCTTTGGAAGAAATGCCTTGGTGCATCTTAGACAGATTGAGGGCAAGGGCTTGAAAGAGGTTCTTCTTGAAAACAACGGAGAAGTGCGGACTCATTTCCATCAGCACGTCTGAAATACCATATATATATAACCATATATACAATAACCATCAATTACAGTACCTGAGATTGATTACACTGCCACATTACAGTCCGTTGTGCTGCATTTGCCTACAATGCATAGAATGAATTTTTGTTCGTATTGACCACTGAGTTCAGCCCTGCCAAAATTGCTGAGTAGGCCATTCTTTTCTGACGATTCTGACGTGTGACAAGTATCTGAAATGTTGGCTGGTTCCATTTAGGAGCGTACCAGACGAGTACAAGCCCATGATCTTTGCCAGTGGAGAGCCGCAACCTTTCCCTTCAGCCACTCGAAAAATCAAGCGCCCAGCTCCCGCCAAACGCAGATGAGGCAGGATGATATGGCATGAACTAAAATGACAGCACGTTGCAATATGAAATGTGACATGTAGGTTTGAGTTTCTGGGGTGGTTTCTGAGAACTATCCAAGTACCATCAAAGCACCCAATTTCTGAAGCTCATGAACTAAGAACTTGACACACGATGGCTGATCTGAGAACCAGGAGTTCTCAAACAGAGGGCCCATGGGAATAAATCATGTTGCATGGTCTTGACCAGCCGGCTGGGCCCAACTCTAGATGCTGTAATTTTGCCTCGGACATCCAGGACCTACTACTAGATTTACTAGATCCTCCGCAGACAAGTATCTCGACCACAACGCAACAAGGTACACCAAGCTAACATAAAAGATATAAAAGGGAATAGATATTCTCATGTTTATAGTTTTTTTTTCAACATGTTCAATGGTCTTTTTTGACCTTGCTCATTCCGGAGGCGGCTTTTTCTGCAAGACCTATGTACAGCTCGGGGCTGTCTCAGCGTTTGTTCAATTTGGAAGCTAGGTTGCGCGGAGGTGTGGGTGGCAGAATGTGACAAAAGTATGCACAAGAGAGATATGTTACACTACATTTTGTTATATTATATATTAGATCATATTATATTATATCATGTTACATTATATTGTGTTACGTTATATTATCTTATATTATGTCTTATATTACATGTATCATATATTACAATATATATATATATTGACAAAATCTATACATAAAATGATTCCATATGTTTTTCGCCAGGAGCGGGGCCGTGAAGAAATGGTGTTGCTATGTGTGTTACTTGTATCATTGATAAGGCAATCTTCAGGAACAGTTGTCCACTGACACCGTCCCTGCCCCAAAGCGATGGCAGGCCCTGGTGAGTTCCTGTCCGATCCTGTCCTATGAGTCTCGTGTTCTGATCTGTTCTTTATTCATTGTCAACTCAATTTTTTAGAAGCCACTTTTGAATGCTTTTGATCGGATTCAACCAACCCACTTCAATGAGTTTCAATGAAGCAGCTTATCCAAACCATTCCAAACTCAAGAAAATAATATGTACCTAATTATTGCATTGGAACCATTTTGCGGAAACAAACAATTATAGATGTGCAATAAAATTGCAGGTGTGCCTTATCTCCTTTCCAGTAAGTTGTACTTCATATAATCTTTTGAGCCAATCAACCAGATTGTCCAAATCAATGATAGGATTGCAAGCTGAAGGCTGTATCCAAGCAGTAAAAAACGTTCCTGCATAGTTACCATAATATGCTACCCTGACCTCATGCCATCCTGCCATCCTCCCTTACAGATCGAGTATGTCGAGGATTCTGGCCAAAGACTTCAGTGATTACCGTCTCCACAAGGATCTTCCATGAGCCAGCCGGAGCTAAGTGGTTTCGCTGATTTTTTCCACCGCGCAGCTGTTGCCATGTTTAGTGAATTTTGTGGCTTCAAGAACCAACAAGAGTCCAAGCATAGCAGATATCAATGCCTGTCTTACGCAAACTTTTGCAGACGTTGGCAACATGGCATTTTGCGCTGATGATGCACATTTTTGGGTGACGGTGTGGCATGAACATAGTGCCCTCGCCAATGCGCGAACCTTGCCGACTTGCTGTTTCACTTGTTTGAGCCAGCACCCGCCTAGGAGAACTTCACAATTGCAGCAGACAGACCTTGACAACATGGCTTCAAAGATGACTCATGTTGTGCAAGCGCCTGAACGGTAAGGTAGTCATTTAATTAGTGAATATTCATTGCCCTAAGTGATTTTGCCCTAGAGTAGCACGCCAAGAGGTGCTTAGCCAGGTTATGCCAGGTTCCTGTTGGGTGTTTTGCATGAGAAGCGCGTGATGGTGTCCAACCAAAATGGCAGGCGTCAAATTACATCACTATTTTATAGTATGATCATGATTGATCATGCATGATCAACCCCCCGACCGAGCCTTCTGTACTGTATATACAATGGGAAATCGGAGACAAGTCACATCAAATCTCTTTTGAAGCGCGCTTTTTGTGTGCTATGGAAATCAGAAAACAAGTGAAGCAAAGGCACCAATCCCGAATTAGGTGCCTTGAGGATGACAGGGCAGTTTCAGCTAGGATTGCAAGGAATTGGAGGAGGTCAAGCAGAACCAAGACACTATTTCCCGGCAGTGGAAAAGTGAAGCCATGAGGGACCGAAGATGGTTTTAAAGCTTGTTCAAACAATAGATGGAGTTCAAGAGCTACTCCAATCTGGATAGTTAGCATCAGTGAGCGAACAACAAGTTATTGATTGTTGACGAACGGAAGTGGAAATTGGCTGAGGCCAAAGTGTGATAAAGAGATGTCAGCGCGACTTCCCCCAGCTCCTGGCAATTGTAGCGGCTAGATATTTGATTTGAAGGTGACAATCGCTTTTTCATACCTTTTCACTTTCTTGTATAGCAGACAGTCCTCGGCTGCGGAACGTACAGTGTCTGGCCGAGTTCGTCTTGTCGAAGGAATCTGAATATCCACAAAGGAAATGCTTCGATGGAAAAGAGGTGCCTTTTCATGGGCATTTTAGCGGTGTGTTATGTTTGGTCTTGCCGGACCAGTTTATCCAATTTTGGCGAAGAAATGAAGTTCCGAAGAACCAATACCAAAACTAGCGCTGCACAGCTTTCTAAAAGCGTTCAATTTCACATCATCCAACTGGTGTACGGCATATGTTTTGACATGCCGACATACCATTTTTGTTACATATTATATTCTATTATGTATAATATATACATATTAATATATTATATATCATAATATATATTAATATATATTAATATATATGTATATTGATATATGCCTAAATATGGAATCGGCATGCAGCCTCCGAGCACTTGCACATCCCCTTGAAGATCTTCGGAGTTTCCCGCACCAAGGCAGAAGGAGCGCTCGCCCAAACTGTTTGTGGCTTAGTGCAGTGCAACCCAAACAAGCTGCAGCTAACCTTCTGAGCCGGAGTGCCAGACATGATTGTTCTTGAGAGGGGAGATCGTGCATATGCATCGTGAATCAGAATAAGAAATCGTTGTGAAGAAAGCTTGAACGAGAAGCTTTGGACTTACAGACAACTTGCACCGGTACATATCTCACCAATTGCATACTGTAGCTTGCCACCTAAATTGGTAACTATCTTGAATTGAACAGCTCAGCTGGAAAGTCGGGGGTGCGAAAGACCGCGGGGTTTTCAGATTTTGTGCTGGGAATTTGAACGTTGTTTCCGCATGTAAGCGCTGTTTACAGTCGTATTTGCACAGAAGGGGGGTCGTTTTACAATGCAAAATGTAGTTCATTTTGCAACGTGCAATGGCTCTAACTTCTTGATTTCCTAATATTTCCTTTTTTGGGGTTTCTTGGTTCCTTTGTCAATAAGCTAGGAAACAAGAAGCCGAAAACTAGGAAATCAAAACGCTAGAGCCATCGCGCGTTAGCACGTTGTACCCGATCCTGTGCGCATTTGGACATGCTGTTCCCATAATGCCCGCCCAGAAAGCTTCAAATTCTTGGGTGCCAAATCATGCCAACCTTTGGGAATCCTTTGAGACTGTGGGTGCCGGCTGATCAATGAACCAATCCAGCATCCAATCATCGAATCATTCGTGCATTCATCGTTTAATCTGAGCTCTAGCACCATTCTTGCGGGCAGCTTCCTGGCTTCCTGTAGCCTAAATGTCTTGAAATTTCTGCCCTGGTCCGAGTATGTCTGAGTACTACAGGAATATCATAGAATATCACCTCTGGGCAATACCAGACAATTCCATTCCAAAGCTCTTCTCGTTTGCGTGGAAAACTATGAAAAAAAAGTTGCTCAAAACTCAGAGAAGTGTCTTCACAGAGAGGGACAGAAAGAGAGAGAGAGAGAGGTCTCTTGGCGGGTCCGTGAGTATTTGGTGACTTTTTAGCGAAAGGAATCCTGGCTGGTTACGATGCTTCCATGAAACTGGCAGAGATTTCTCAAGGCAGCATAAGATCGTCTATCCGAGTTGACCCCATCGCACTTGAAGAAAAGTCAAAAGTCATGGAGGATACAGAAGGCCCATGAAGGCCCATGTGTTTAGAATCGATACTAAATGATACTAACACTCCCTGCAATGTCTCAGTTTTCCAGGTCGGAACCAACTATGTCGCAGAGCGATCGTCAAAGTTCACCTTTGCAGCGTCTAGTGGCGGGACCTCACAGAGCTCACAGCGGTGAGGATTTCAAACATTTCAGAGATGCTCACAGAATTTCACAGATCACGGTGCCTTAATGCTTGGGGCTTGGATTGGGAGATCGGCGAGAATGGAAAGTCTCCCTTTGGACCTTTTCACCGTACACTTACCTTCATGCTGTGTTGGTGGAGCAAAGTTTCAGCACATTTTGAATTAGCTAATGTGACATTAATATAATGCCATGTTGGTTTCGGTATGTTTCATATGTTTCATTATGTTTCTTTCAGGATTTGCAGCTTCCAGTGATGCTGCAGGTTGATGTTGATGGTGAGCAAGGGCACTCAGAATATCTCAGAATATTCTAATGCTCGAGTTTGAGTGAATAATGTTGCAGACATGTCAAGACTGAAAGGTGAAGCATGTTTTGTTCAGTCCACAAAGTCATATTATGAAGCCCAGCAAGAACAGCATAGAACAGCTCAAGCCACATCGAATGTTGTTGCGTCGCCTCAAGCGCAAGCTGAAAGCATCGGAGAATCAACCAGGAAATCTAGGATAGACCAATTCCAGGGAGGATTTTGCACCAATGAACAACACTTGATGCCGCTGGACACCACTTGGTTCTATCTGTTTTGCTTCTGTGGGTCTGTGGGTGTGGGAATGTTTGCAAGCTGGCCTTGAAGAGAGCAACCGAGAGTCATGAGTGTCGGCTTTCCAAAGTAATCTTGATGAGCACCTGAGCACCATCGAACCAGATTATTCACAGCTTTAAGCTTCTTTCTTGATTTCAACAAGTTTCAACAGTTGATTTCAAATTGCGCGTGTAGTTACTGCAGGTTGTTGCACTGTTCAACCAAGAAAACCAAAGCACGAGGTGATGTGCCATGAGATAAAGGCATGAGTGTCAGGTCTTTTTACCCCGTTGTTTTTCCGAAAACTGGCCCGGGAAGGATGCGGGATCTTCGCAGAAGCCTTCCTCTTGCGGAAACGTCGCAGAACCTCTTCACAATGTAATTTGACGCACAACAAAGCCTGTCGAAATACATTCGAGACTGAGGCAGCAGAAGCACAAACCTGTTTTGTGGACGTTTGCGGACACAACCTTTAATCAAGTGGTTTTGCGCAAGCTGGCGTTGTGTTTGCGGAAGCACCACGCAAGGTTTCACGGCGGAATTGAATAGTGTCAATGTTAGATAAGTAAGAAACATAGAAGAACACAAAGCTCATATGAGTCTAAGGGGTTCACAACTCGTCACTCCATGAAGAAAAACTAACTAGGTGAACTTGGGTTCAGCTGAGGCCCACAACCGAAGTGTCACTGTGAACCAGCGCCCCGTCTTGTTCTCGGTAGATACTAGCATTCGGACCAGTCGCAAGATGCTGATTCATTTTTGACAATCCCTTCGCATTTGCGCAGTTTAGGTTCAGTCATTGCCAGTCTTGAAGTATTTTAGGGCTACCCAAAACATGGCAATGGTTTGGGTTCTGAATTTGGAAGCTATCGATTGTTGAATGGAACCAATGGAATCATCACTTCTTCCCTAGAGCTGTTTGGTTACCAGCAGCTTGCAAGTTTTCACGCCACAATTTGTCAGGTTTGTACAAAATCGCTGGGCCGCGAGGTGCGGTTGTCCAGTCCGGAGTGTGGGAAGTTACGGTTATGGTAACATTTTGTTATATTTTGTTGCGTTCTTGTCGATAACCAATGGATGCAAAGACAATCAAACACACTCGTGTATATCATCATGATTATATATCATATATATATATGTGTGTAATATATATATAATATACAATATTTATTATATATATAATATAATATAATATATATAATATAATATAATATATATAATATATAATATTATATATATAATATATAATATTATATATATATTATGTATATTATATATAATATTATATAATGAATATATATAATATATATGTATAATAATAATATATATATAATTAATATATACAATATATACATATATATATTATATATGTATATATAATATAATATATATATATAATATATAATATAATATATATATATCATATATACAATATATATAATATATAATATAATATATATATTCTATGATATAATATATTATAATCTATGATATAATATATTATAATCTATGATATAATAATATATTATAATATTATATATATATATTACAATACACTCGAAATCTTCTGTAGCATACTCTGGGAATGCACAGATCCAACAGAGAATCCAGTGAAATGCCTGTGCTGGCATTTGAGGTCCAAGTTGCTCAGCCAGTGGAATCCAAAGCTTCAATTGCTTTAGACTTTAGTTGATGAGCCTTATGCAGAAGCACAGCGTGCACTGTAGTTGAGACATTGAAAGTCAAGGACACCTGGCCATTGCACGGATTAGTTATGAGACATGTTGCCACGGTGCCAGTGTTGGAGAATATAGGCGGGCCCAGTCGAAGTTGTTTGCTTCCGGTGCGCAGGTTCATAGTATATTATGTTTTGATATGTTTTGTAATATACTGTATACACACCTTCCCAGATAGTAAACTATATTATTTTGTGACTAGCAAACAAACTCCAGGGAAATTTATGCATGTTGAAAAAATGCGCGGTAGTGTTTAATAGTTTTGGACATGGTTTTCGAAATTACCATATTTACCCAGATTCAGAGGAGCTCAGTGGCCACAAGCAATGGCCTTAAAATTTCCACCAGGTTTTATTTAGAGGTGTTTGTTTTTTACCTTAAAGTTAGATCAAAGGTGCAGGTATGGCTCAGTAGTATATTCAGTTTGGGGAAGCTGGTAGCTTTATTTATAGCGGTTGTTTATTAACTAGAGGTCAAGCAAAACAAGTCCAATCTGCAATTCAAAGGTATCAAACATTATTAAACTGTTTTTTTTCTAGTGTCTGCAAGTTGCCGGGTGAACCAGTCTGTAGTTCCATAAATTTGTTCAGCTGCGCTGTCGTTATGGTTTGGTTCCATTCCAGTTTCAGGCTAATGGAAGGTCAAGCATTGGATCATTGATTCTTTGCTAAGGTGTTCAATATGTTGGTGTTGAATGGTTTTGAAGCGTGGAGTTGAACGTGTTGCTTACAATGTCGAGGTCATTTTTTTGTTTCAGGAACCTGGTAAGCCGCAGTTTTACCATGTTTTACCTGGTACTAGTAAATCTATAGTGATGATGTTTGAGTTTAACCAAGTATTGCAATGTTTCATTCCACAGGTGTATTGATGTTTTATTTATATATCCTTACAGCTTTAAATGCAAACGGTTTTCTGTGAAGAAATGGCATGAAATGGCAAGGTGTCCTAAACTTCCATGTCTGTCTAATGCTTACATGATGGACGTCCTGGAGGCCATCTTCAGGTGACATTGTTTGGAGTTCGAATTGCCCTGGCAAGAACGCCACACTACGAAACCTGATGATGGCAATAGGTGGTGAAAAGATGGCCGCGAAAATAAAATGAAATTCCATGGCCATCCATGGCCTTCTTTTCACCGAATAATTGGTCTTTTTGTCGTCAGGCTCAAGGAGTTCGCCACAAAGATTTCACAAGTGCAGTGCTAAGACCAAGCACAGTAGCATAATGTAGCATACAGTAGCTTTCCTAACTGAGGTAATCTCTATAACAACTTCACCACGACAACGATTCCCAGCGGTGCAAGATTTCACCTTTGTTTGTTGAGTCGTAAGAGCAACCAGGAGATTCAATAATGATGATGCAGAATTAAAAGCAACTTATATACAATGTCGTCCAATACTGGAAGTTGTCAATATATGTGTATATATATATATGTATATATATACATGATTATATGTACTGTGTATATATATATGTGTGTGTGAGCGTATGTTTCAAGAGGCACAAGCAAGACATACCCCGTTTTATTGCTTGATCTAGAGATTGTTTACCTCAGGTTACCGATGTCTCCACGTCTATCCAACTGTTTGGTCACTTTGATAAGACTAGTTTCATTGCAGCTGCCATCCACAATTCTTGACAGAACGACCAAGTGATTGTTCCCAACATTGCAGTACCTTGAGCTTGGCAGCAATCACTGCGGCCAGAGTGCTGACACTGGATGTTTCATGCCAACTCAGTGATTTTTAGCTCTACTTTGCTTTGTTCCCGTTCCAGTCTGCAGGTTCCCTAAGCCACTTCCACTGGTATCGACTCTATGGTTGCAACGCGATCCACAATGTTTATTTTGAAACCATGACATGCTTATGGAAAGGGCAATGATGACACTCCATTTTGCATCCACATGCAGCACTGACCAGGTGGCGGTGTAAATCAATGTAGAGAACATGTGTTTCTTGCTCAAGGTGGCAACATGTGGCATGGAAAACTGAAGGATGGCAGATTCAAAAGAATTCCAACCAGGAAAATATTTGGCTGAATATGGCTGAATTATGGTCAGCATTCAAGAAGCCTTAAGCGCAGTCTGAATTCGCTGCAAGCAAAGCAGCTGGCAAACTTTGCTCCCACCATCCAAGAAGCGTGTCCCGTAGATTTGTGTGCTGCCTAAATTCTCAGGCCAATGGAGGTCAAGAGTCAGTGATTGGTTATGATTGATTTGGAAATTAAACCGAATCTTGTTGTCCCTGAAAACAAGGCCTTTGTCATTGTTTCAAACCATTCCACAAGTTGATGTAGCACCCACTCGCCTGGATGGTTTCGGGCTGCTCTTTCCAGGTGGTGTGGTTGTAAAAATGGGCTACACTGCAGTGAAGTCACATGAAGTGGCATAAGTGGCACATGTGTGCGGGATAGAGCCAAGATATGAGGTACTGTTAAAGAGCTGAAAGTGCAATGTTTTCTTACTCGAAGATTCACAAATTTTACCGTGGGCACATAAGACTCGGCTTTGCAAGTATTTTCACAGCAGTTTGATGACTGCTTCAAAGCGTTCGCTTTCAGTGTCAATGTTTGTACCGTCACGTATTGTAAATTTGGATTGTCACGTGTTGCCGCCATTTCCGGATCAGCTGGGTGGAGTTGCCTCAAATATCGACTGGAAACCCAGACCATTTTCTTGGCGGTGATTCAGTCCTGGGTTCAGTCCTGCTTTGGATTCTAAAGTCCGGGTGAGCCGCACAGGGGCAGTTGCAGTCAATAAGTTTTGCATGTTTGAACTTTTAAATTTTGCTGTCTATATAACATATTTGTGAATTATATGCTGCTCAAACATTGTATATATATATACATATATCAATGCTCGAGTGTAGTATGTCCAAGCACCGTACTTAATTGATTAATTTTGTTGATGCAAGCTGGCCACAAAGAAGTTGTATAGCCGCCTAGCTGAGTGCGCTTAGGTCTCTTGAAGTACTCAATTCAAGTGCCTCAAGTTGAGACCTCAGGTTTCAGGGGTTCTGCGCGAGTGCATGCACTCAAACAGTGATCCGTTTCTTTTGGTGTCAATTTTGTGGAAAATTGGATTACTATTGGATTGTGGATGGACATCGAAGGCTATTGCAGGTACCGTTGACATTCATTCTTCCACTTCGAGTCAGCGTGGGGTGGCTATTGCTGCCAGAAAGTGAAAAGCGATGGATGCCTTTTTGTATTCAGCCCATCCAAGATCACAATGCTGGACTTCCTTTTCAGCTGCTTGGTGGGTGTGGAGACTCAGTGCCCATACTTTCAGAGACAGAAAATGGTCGAGATGGTTTGAGATGGTGATGGGATGGTCATGAACAGGTTGGCAGAGAGACATCAAGTATCTACAGTATCTTGTATACTTTTGAGCATTTGTGATCGATGCATCAAGCCCCCCGTAAGCATAATGAAGACGATTTAGCACCGGCCTGCAGCTGTGAGGAAGGTTTAGGTCCGAGTTTAGGTGATTTAAGACGCGTATTCCAGGTTATGAGTCGGTTGTGAGTTCAAGTCTTTGTGGGTTGCCCCTGCCTTTGAAGAAGGTCACACGTTTGCACCCAGGCACAGGTATTGGTGCTTACAACAGCGCCTCCATCAAGCCGTGTTTGTCAGATACTGTGAAGATGATCAAGCAGAAGGCTAGGGGAGGGTTCAAGGATGGTTCAACAGCAGCAACTACAAGGAACAAACCATACGAAACATGTCAGCTGCCGGTATGGTTGCAACATGTTGCCAAACCTTCGCCCAATGAGGGCATGTTGCAGGGCTGACCAAGCAAAACTGTTTTGCTTCAATTGTTTTGATATGATATAATATATATATATATACAATTATACATACAAGTATCAGATTCGCATAGTTTTGCATTGGCAGCCCAACCAAGATTTGGTCAGGTGCGCGTCTCCTTTTTGCAGACCCTTCACACTTCTTCTTAATTACAGATTCTCCATAAGGATTGTCAGTACAAACATAACATGCAGATACATATAATATAATACTCATATAATTATATAGATATTACAGAGATATGATGTTTGACATTGGAGTGGAGATTGCATGGCTTGTAGTAGGCTTGTAGTTTTACATTGCGCCTGGCTGAACTCAGCGGGTCATTCCAACCTGCAGGGCAACATGCATTTGCAATGCAGCAAGTGTTGATTGAAGCACTTCTCAAATATGTCTCTTCTGCCCGGATGTTTGCTGCATTTTGCTCGTTTTCAAGCACCAAAGTTGTGCAGAAGCCAGACATTTCAATTCGCAGCTAGCGAGGCATAAAGCTGTTGAATGCTGTTGACATGTTAACTCGCAATTACCAGGATGAGATGATTCAACATCCAGCCGGTATTTTTCCTCATCAAAACAGACAGCTGAAAGCTGACACCTCTGAGTTGAGACCAAAGCAACATTATGAACTATTATGAATATGCCTTTGAGACCCTACATCGCCTTACTCAATCCATCTGTCATCATCACCAATCCGAGTGATCGAGCAGTGCAATCAAGAAGTGTCGAAAATCGTCAGCTGACCGTTCCGTCATTTGCGGTGGTCTTCTCATCGTGTGCTACTTAGTCCCAGCTGTCAAGGGTTCTGCAAGAATTGTGCCAAATTGTGCTCATTGCCGCTGGAATCAATGTTATATAATTAAGTTATTTATGTATATTATACATACTAGATCACACTAGTTACTAGTATATATATAATAATTATGTGTATATATATAGCACACATACATATAAACTTACGCACATTTTTACACATGCACTTTCACATACAATATACATATATACATACACACAGGGTGCCATTTACATATACATAATACATATACAGTACATAATAATGTACACATATATACATACATACATACATACATACATACATTAATACATTAATACATACATACATACACATGCACATGCACATGCACATGCACATACACTTACACACACATAACGCATACAGATATGCATTCACAGGTACATATGCATGCATGCATGCATGCAGACATACAGACATACAGACATACAGACATACAGACATGCATGCATGCAGCATACAGACATACAGACATACAGACATACATACATACATACATCCATCCATCCATCCATCCATCCATCCATCCATACATACATACATACATACTACATTATATATATACAGACAAACAATATACGCATTTGTTTGTACAAACGTTCAAGCAAGAATCAGCATTTAGGAATCAACATGTTTCCACCTTGTTATCCACCTTTTTGTGGGGCCATCCTCAATTTGGGTACTTGTTTCGTGTTCTTTCTTGTTTGGACTGTACTCCGCTCTCAACAACAGTGCATTTCACAAGTGTTGTTCTTCCTTTCAACCGCAAACAGATGACATGGGCTGCTGAGTTGGAAAGATCGGCAATGTTTATTCTGATGAAATGTTCTTCTTAAGTCACACAGGTCTGCGCGGAAGTATCATTCAAGTTTGCCCTTTGGTCCTGACTCTTGACTTAGTTAGCTATCAGGCGGCCCAATGAGCCAAGCATTGCCGCTTTCGCCGGCTGGAATCCAAGCATAGGAGATGGCAAAACAGACGGAGATGGCAAAACAGACGGACTGCTGATGGTTTCACAACCATAATTTCTATAGAAATTCCACATCGACAAGGTGCTTTCGGTGCTGCCAAGCATTGCTTGACAGGCTTAACCAGTGCTTAATCAGTGGCACTGTTGGTTTCCTTTGTCAAAGAGTCCTGACCGACTGCTGCCGAGGAGAGCCGTCAAGGTATCCGGCCTGGCCGCAGTGCCAGCTTGAACCGCAGCCAATGGACCATGGTGCCAGATGATGTCTGGTCCCTGGGGGCGCAACACGGCGCAGATCTTGAGAGTTTTTGCTTGCCAGTTTTGTATTGGCAATTGGACCAGACTTCTTTTGTTGAGCCCTATTACGGTCAAGAGTGGTTCAGCTTTGCCTCTGCACTTATTTCATCTTATTTCATTGTGTTGTGTGCTCCTCTATTTCGATTCCAGATAATTTACGAAACTGACATAAACTGACAAGATCAAACACAGCAGGTCCTGCAATATTCCAAGAAGCAACGCCGCATTCTGCCAGACTCCGACATCACACCGGCCGTCGCGGCGCCGTACAGAGCAAAGCATCACACGGAACCGGAGCCAGATTTCACTGTTCACAGAGGACTGACATTGGACTGACTGTGCATTTCTATGCATGCTGGTCTCTGATCTTAAGTCATTGTTGAAAGAAAAAGTCATAACCCTCCAGCCCCATGATGATTTTACTGCCATTCTTGTTTTGCATGGTTTTGCCCTGACATTTGCAGAGTGTCACAGGAGTTGAGCCGTGGCGAGCGTCCAGAAGGCACTTTGCTTTTGTGCTTTGATTTGTGCGTCGGTTTGTGCTGGTTTTCGGCCTTGAAGCTTTGGAAGTAGCTGATCAATTTGCCCCCGCTCACGACCATCGAATGAATTAGAAATAGCTTTGCAAACGCTTTAAATGTGTTTTTCCTGAAGCCACATGGAGTTGTGCAAGTGTCAGAATATCAGTTTCGAACCCGGCGCGCGTGTCAAATCACACACAGACATAGACTTATGGAATGGCATGTCCTGTCACATCGGCATTGTCATTGATTAGGGAATGTTTTTTTCATGTTTTTTGATGCTTCTTTTTTTCAACTTCAACTTAATATAACTTAATTACTTTGGGCTCAACCCCTTGCATCCTTGCATGCCTTATCTTGGTGAAAGGAGGCAAGTCCATGCAGCGATCCGCCAGGGAAGCTCAGAGTGGGGCAGGTCATTCCACTGCTACACGCTTTGTATCGCTTTGTCTTGGCAGGACTTCTCAGGGTCGATCACCCCAATACCTAGATATACCATGATATACCATGATATACCTAGCACGTAGCAGTTACAATACTATTGCTCCGAGAAAAAATATCTTCCATGTGCTCCGTCAGCTGGACATGGCAAGGCCAGTGCTGTCCCTCTCGGTTCAAGAGGCAGGTCATTGCCTTGGCAGCAGCAAAGGATCGAAAACATGAACCCGCCTATGCACAGCAAAACATGATAGCTATGCATAGCTGGTATGCATCATGAGAATTAATGATATGTACAGAATTGATTGTGTAAAATAATATTATCAATTATACAAGTAGTACCGCACAAGGCGGTGGCGGAAGTTTCAAAGATAGGACACTATAGGAGAGGTGAGTTGTTGTGATGCATGGATGGCAGAACGAACCCACTGATGGACCGAAAGGTGGTTGGAGTTGTGTTTTTTGGAGTGGTTCCAATGGTTGCAGTGGTCACCTCACCCACAACTGCGGGATGTAGTGTGGCGTAGTGCAGCTGTAGCTGTAGTTGCAGTTGTAGAGTAGTGTACTTAGCGTGGCGCACTTGCAGTTGTAGTTGTGGTGTGGTGTAATGAGTGTAGTGCAATGTAATGTAGTGTAGTGTAGTGTGCTGTAGCGTTGCGTGCTGTAGTGTAGTTAGTCTAGTGTAGTGTGGTGTGGTGTGGTGTAGTGTGGCATAGTGGAGTGTAGCGTAGTGTAGTTGTAGTTGTAGCTGTAGTTTGCGTAGCGCAGTGTAGTGTAGTATTGTAAAGTGTGGTGTGGTGTAGTGTAGTGTACTGTAGTATAATATAGTGCAGTGATAGTGCAGTGTAGTGTCATGTAATTAGTGTAGTGTAATGTGATTAGTGTAGTGTAGTGTGCTGTAGTGTAGTTGCAGTTGTAGTTGTAGTTGTACGTACTGTAACGACATTTAAATATGTGGAGGGCGGGCCAGACCGCGAGGCCCCGGAGGTAGCATGAAATACCAGTTCGTATATTTAAATGTAGTTGCCGTATGCTTAAATTACTTGGATTCCGTATGTTTAAACGGCCGGGCGGGCCAAGGAAAACTTTCCCGGAGGTAGTCTAAAATGTACCTTTTCCTATTTTTAAAAGTCCGTATACTTAAATGCAGTTGTTGTACGTGGTTGTAGTTGTGGTTGTGGTGTAGAGTAGAGAGTAGAGAGTAGAGAGTAGAGAGTAGAGAGTACAGAGTAGAGAGTAGAGAGTAGAGAGTAGAGAGTAGAGGGTGGGGTGGACTGGAGTGGAGTGGAGTGGAGTGGAGTGGAGTGTTAAAAGTGCGACAAAACCCTCACCTTTTGCTCACTTTTGACAACATGCAGAATCCCTTGCGCTTGCCACGCAAAACGATATCTCAACGTCCAAAGTGCTCCGCACCGGTCATTTTTGTTACACGTTTGACTTCGAAATGTGCTTCGCGCCACAATGGCATGCACTTTTTCGACATGTCAACTTCCAAAAGTGGTCCGAGCATTTTTTTTACATCTTCGCGCCACATCGGCAACGGCGTCCACTTTTTCATCATCTCAACTTCCAAAAGTGGTCTGAGGCCGTCAGTTTTTTACACTTTTGGCTTGGAAATGCGCTTCGCGTCACAACGGCGTGCATTTTTTCAACATCTCAACTTCCAAAAAGCGGTCCGACGTTGGTGTGTTTTGTACATTTTGACTTGGAATTGTGCTTCGCGCGACAATGGGGTGCAATTTTTCATCTCTCATCTGGCCAGATGGCTCCGCACCGACCGCTTTAGCAAGCCTACTTTTTGACCCTCCGGAGCCTCAAATCATTGGAAAAACGCAGTGTTTCGCGACTTTCCTACCTTTTTGCGCACCTGCATCTTCTTTCTTCTCACTCTTTCTCTTCCCTGATCTTCTCTCTTCTTCTCCCCTTCTCTGACTGTTCCCACCTCTGCTTTTCCTTCTGTCCATATTGTCGGAAGTTTGACATCTAAACTTCCTTCGGTAATATGATGTATCAATTATATATCAATTTTATAGGGATTTTTTTTCATTATGCTTTGACGGCCCAAGCTCAGATGAGCCCTGCAGGCAACAGCTCAGCAAGGCCAAACTGCGCTCAGCTCGACCCTGAAATCAAAGCTGATTAAGAAAAATGAAAGCAAACCAGAAGAAACAGTCTATTCTTCGAGTTTATGATATTTTTTGGAATTTGTTTGCATTTTTTGGTTCAAATTGTTAACTTTCGGATTTTACTTTGAAAACAAAAACATCAAACTTTACTGCATTGCATACATCCTCCCTTTGTTTGTGAAGTTTGGTTGGTGGAACAACACTGATTGCCTTCCGGCAAGACCACTGTGAGGCCAGGGCGTTCCAGTGAAGTTTTTAGGCTCAGGGAGGGTTTTGTGCAAGCTGCAGAATCCCGGTGCCTGGATAGTTTGGTATGTTTCGATCCAACGCTGGGGATCACAATGAAGTGACACACTTTAAGTCAATGTTTCGTTCATTGTTTGGCGTTTACCCATACTGGAAAAAACAGGCAGTGCTGAATCATACGATAAGATACTATAGCTAAGATACACATTAATATTATAATATATATCATACTCATCATATACATCATTTGTGTAAGTTCGATTGTAGTCAATATTTGTCAAGGCATCGGGTCACGCTGTGCCATACAAGGCCACCTCCACGACAAAGCGCAGAGGCCGCTAAGTCGTCCAATTGCTGTGGCATTGCTTGGAATATTGGAGGATTTGCAGTTGGGTGGTACAACGTTTTTCATTGTGTTGCCTTTTTTTACCGAGACAGGTAAACAATTCTTTGCTTGGTTTTTGTATGTTTTTGTGCAAGGCTGTGCTTTTGGTTCCTTGCTGCTTCTGCTTCCATTGTTTCTGTCACACAGGTGTTTTATTGTAGGCGTCCTGATTCTGTGCATTGGTTCTGTGATTGGCCTTACTGTAGTGATTTGCAATTTCTCTCCTTTTGCCTGTGTAGCCCTGTATAGCCATCTCGTGAAGGAACAAAATAACGCCGTTCTGGTGACGTCTGCATTGACATAGACCCATCCGACTGATCCGGATGTCACAGGCAACCACTGCCAGCTGCGCCTCGAAAGGCAGGAAACATGTTGTCGAACGGGCTCGAACATAGGTCTCGAAATCCAGAGTCCAACGATCCAAATCATCCCAGTTTCATCCATGTTTCATCCATTGGCTGCAAAAGACGGTCAAGGTGTTGAGGCATGCTGAGGCAAAGGAGTCAAACAAAAAGCATGCAGGTTTATTCATGAAGAGAGGTCGTCTGACTCAGCATGACTCAGCATAGCCTTTTCTCTTTGCTGACATGCTTAAGATGGTTAAGAATCAATGTTTTTGTCATTTCTCTGCACAATCATGTTGCACAGAAGGCTTCCAACACAAGACAAGTAGGTCTAGCATGGCCGCTACACACCACAATGGGTTCTCTGCGTTCTGGCCAGGTCTCAGTTCAGCCAGGGGCGATGATTCTCTGCAGAAAGGCCGCACCATGTGATTCATTTCATGGCAAAAATATGCAAGAATACTGATCACCAGCTGGTGCACGGTGCCGGGATCAGGCTGAGGTTGGAATACCCTGACACGATCCACGGCAGTCCTTCGTGCTCGAACGCGTTCCTTCGGATTCGGAAGCCACCCAAGCTGGTGCACTGCTTCAAGCATGCTCGTCCGGCCAGACGGCAAAGGCAAGAGGACGTTCTCCGACGAAATGCCGCACGGGCAAACCTCTCACAATCACAAACAAATCCAACACGTATCCAACACGTCTGTACAGTAGGATATAGGCCTCGGCCAACTATCAGATTCTCTCAGTATCGCCTGTAGCGCCTGCGCACAAATGTCTCACCCCAGCCGTGCGATCCCACGGCAGATGCCCACCAAGAGTATCTGTCAAAGACAAATGAATAATCAACTGGAAGATACTGGAAGAACATGATCCAATGCATCATCCAGGGACTCTCCAACAATCCTTTGGCAGGAAGCGGTCGTCTCTGGCAAACACCGTGGCAAACAGCGGCAACATGCGGCAACCAGCCGTTGGGTGTCCAACACTTCCACTCCGTCTCAACATAGGCAATGGAAGTCAACTCCATACCTTCGCGAATGCATTGTGCAGTCCCTTGGCTGCAGCACTCAAGCGACACAAAGTTTCGGGATCCGTCCGGCGGGTACACAGACGAATGGGCCAAAGTCCCTTCAGCGCCATCGACATCTTCAACTGCGCCGCAAGGTGGAGCAAAGCCTGACACGCTTGAGATCACTTGACCTTCTCGCTTTGGCCAAAATGGCTTGAATACGAACAGACAATGTAGCTAAGGTCCTATGTACTATGGACGAACTTCGTTGAACATGTTGCAGATTACCCTCAGCTTCGTCGATGCTATTTTGTATCTATTTGATTCTATTTGTATCTCTTTGTTTTGTCGGGGTGCACTGCACGAGATCAGTCCCAACCATTCCTGCGTCACTGGAAATTCTATGCCACAGTCTGTGGTGGCGGTCAATACCGTGCAGTGTCGCACAAGGCCTTTTGGGTATTGTAGATTGTGGACGATTGTGGAATAATGCAAAACTGTGCTATTCTTACAATTATCTCATACAAGAGCCATCAAAAGTATTTGTTTAGCCGTATATCATTATCATTAAACCAAAATGATGACTACTGTGTATTGCTAAATTATCTCAACTACTGTTCCTATGTAGCGTAAAAGTGTAGTGGTCTATGTTATGTACAGGAGCTTGACATGTCCTCAGCATCAGAGCCTTGACGTGCCATTGAAGGCCCAGAGCTCACCACTGCCAGCGCGGCAAAGCGAGTACCAAACCCAGTTTGAATGGCTCAAAGAACTCTGTTCAGAGATATCACACGTTGTAAGACGTTGTAATTGATATTAATATGTTGTAAGACTTCGTTCGACATTACAAGATAAAGATATTGACATATCAGACATAGCATTCATTTTTTGAAGATCATGTGTGAAGTGGTTCAATTTTGTTGTGTGTTGAGGTGGTTACAGCTCTTGGCCGGCCAGCTGGAGAGGGAGTCTCAACATTTGACTGGATGTGACATGAGATGAAGGACATCGAAATACTATTTTTGGGCCCGCAAACTTGTCTTCCGGGTCACAGAATTCCAATGAGTTCCAAGTGTTCCAAGTTCTGCGAAATCATTTGAAATTTGAAAGTAAAAGATGTGCATCGCAAGTGTGCGTGTGTGTGTGTGTGAGAGAGATGGCGTAAAAAACGTGTGGGGCGCACGATCTTTCAAATCGTTCCATATAGAGCATGGCGTTCAGATGCTGGTAGAATGCTCGGGGATTTGGGCGATCGCACACGATTGCCAAGACCATGAGCTCGCCAAGCAATTTGGATGACTGGCTCCAAAACTCTCGGAGGCAGTGTGCTCCAGATTTCACTTTTCAGGACGTATGGTTTCTATTCATTTCTTCCAGTGCTGATGCGACTTTGTGCGTGTGCTATGTGCGTTGCAGTGTGAGAGCCATACCTCGTGTTCAATTGAAGATGACCGACTTGTTCTTGAACTCAGCCACCACCAGACATGCAAGGCATAGACGAGAAGCGCCAATGCACGAAACGAATCTTGGGTTCAGGCTTGTTTGGAGCGCTAGGCGTTTGAATTGCGGGGACACTGACATAGCATGTTTTTTGTTTGCACCCTGTTGGCTTTTTTGTTGTTTCAAGATTCAAAGTGCTGAGTAGATCTTCAGATTTGCCAACTCTATTGGAAGAAATTTGAAGACAACATTGGGGTCAAGCACACATTTCTGCTCTTGACTTGACTCTTCCTTGGCTATGGGAGGTGCTAACTCCACAGGACCGCAACACAATTAGTTGAGCAAGCTGCCACTATCAACAACCTCCCTGGCTTACAGATGTTTACAGTAACATGTTTAAACACGTTTAAACATGGTTTAACAACCTGCCACTATTTGATACTATTTGCCAGTGCTCTTGCTCATATTGTCCCACTAGTAACTATATGTCGCTATATTTTTCATTCGGCCGTGCATGATTGGCCTATCAGGCCCTCCGCTGAAGACAGGGCTGGAGTGGCAACTCATTGCTGGTTTCAGGACAGGCTGATTTTGAGTTGACCTTTACCACATTTTTCGACTGAGGTTGTCGCAACAGATGGAAGTGGACTAGAGAATGAGTGTTGCAATGTGCAGAACAACACAGATGACTCCTGTGCCTGCCAACAGTGTGAATGTTCCACACTAGCCAGCCCACAGACAAGCCAATACTTGGCGAGTGGCCAAATATACATCCACTTGATATTGTGCTCTTCATTGCACGGCTTTACACGAAGAAGCAGTCGCTGGGATCAACATGGATCAACTATATACTTGACGACTATAAAATGTCTTGCGGGCAGACAATTTTCTCCGCTTTCGCTGATTTCGCTGTGTCGTACCGTGAGAATCAGCGAGTTTGATGAATTTGACGCAATGGCAGCTGAACTTTGAATGGCTTTGAGGAGCGAAGAGGTTCGAAGTGGTCAGGGCCTCCACCGTTCGGGTATCTCAGGAGGAGTGTGTTGGGCAGATAAGGGGCATGAAACGAAAGTGGGATACCATGGACTTAGGAATATATATCTTGTTTATACTTGTTTTGTGACTTTCTTGTGTAGCAAAGAACATGAAAAGTCTGCCGCTTTTTTCGCTGCTTCCCATCTATTGGATTATTGGCTTTGCGGACATGTCTTGCCTACCATTTCTCAGGCCCAAGCGCGCTATGAACCGTACGCTCCAACGGGGCACACAAGTATTGCCGAGCGGCAACTTGTCAAGACGCGGGTCAGCGTAGTTCGCTTGTATCTGACTGAATGACTAACCGATGATTCAATGATTGTTTCTTGTTGACTGATGTTGATCACTTTCTATTGCCTTAATTTGTGACACTGTAGTCTTTGTTGGAAGTGATTTTCCTAACTCAAGGGTTTATGTTGTTCAACTTGTTCAACCATGTTCAACCACGGTTGCATGGTCGAACGATCACTTTTTTCAAAATCCTTGCGTTTTTTGTGATCAGTAATTATATCTCATGGTCAGTTCATTACCTGCTGAAAGGGCTGCACAGAAGAGGTCAGAAGTCTGGAATTTCGAAGGCAAACTGCTCAAGCTTGTGTACGTAGTTCTGCGTGGAATAGCTAGAAGTTAGGATGGATTGAAATGGCCAATGCTGCCCACTCCAACATCTACCAAGGTCCGATGAGCTTGCGCCAGGCCTTTCTTCGCAAGAGTTTGTTTCTATCAGTGATTTTTGTTTCCCTTGAGATCCTGATAATCAATCAGCATCTCACAAATTGACATGTAGTGATGTAATGCATGTATCTTATCTTGTATACATACATTACACAGTAGAATCAAGCGTGACATTGCCTGCAAACTATGGCATTAGTGGACTTCAAGTCCTAATTCCAAAATACTCACAGAGTACTCCGGCAATACGCCTAGCGCTGGTGACAGCATGTGGCATAACTTGTAGTGCACGTCGTGGCTTGCAGTGTGCTGATGCAATTTGATGCAGATTTCACACATCGCATCTATTTCTCAATGCCTTGCCTTTGCGTCTAGGAGCAGCCAACTTCGGCGGCAAAACTGGCTCGTTTGATCTCATCGCTTGTTTTGAGCGGAACCCCCCTACATAGTGTACGCTATCAGCGCATATCAGCACATGGAATGGCATGGTTGTGGACGTATTGTGGACGTCTCTCAGGTTGGATTTGGGCCTCCCTATGCCTGCATTGTTAGCATCTGCCATCTAAAAAAAACAGTCAGTCGCTTTCTGAGGAACTTTGGGTATTTTGGGTGCAGTCAGACGCTTTCAAATTTCAGAAGCGATAGCCAGGAATATGGCAAGGCCTACACTCACCATGAGTGGAAAATGGCTGGAGTTTGAGGCTCAGATTGTTATTCTTCAGCAAGGGTTTCTCCATTTTATTCATTACACTTGCATGCGCGTCAGCTCCCTTGTAATTTTTGGCAATTGAGTATCAGTTTGCAAATTATTGATAACTTATTTGCTTAAACACACACACACAGTAAACGTTTTTCTTTGCTGGAGTGCTTACCCAGTAGAACCCTTTCTGATAATCCTGTTTCGGAGCCCTTTGTCCTTCTGCTGCGAATCAAGAGAGGTGGGACCAGAGTAGTTGCTCATGAAATCGAACTCTCGCAAGGGACGCTCCACTCCAGTGTCTTTTTCTTATACCACTGTCACGAGGACGATCAGCAAAGGGTTTCCAGATTGTTTGGGATTTTGCTATGGATGTTTCGGAATGTTTCGGAATGTGTTGGATTCTGGTTGTGCTCAGGTCCCGAGTCCCCATGAACTGAACCGAGCTATTGCACGCGAGGGATTGTTTGGACGTGGAACCGAGGCACGTAAGACCGCAGTTTTAGATCGGTTCTACTTGTATTTCATTTTCCAGCTGTACCTTCACTTTCACATTGAAGCTGAATAGCTAATTTATGTTAATTCATAATTAATTATATGATATTACATTATTATGAATATCGTGAAAGATATCATATGTATATATAATTATATATATATATATTATATTATATATATATTGCATAATAGATTTAATTTGATATAATATAGATATTAGATGATATTAGTATATAGCTACCCGACAGGATGTCCAGATGCTTGCAGATGCTGTCTGCAGATCTGCACTATTTGGCACTGCCTCGGAGGCACTCCCACGAGGGCCAATGTTTTTGGACGGAACCACCACTCATGTGGACTCCTCAGATCTCACGGTATACATCGGTATACATCGGTGTTCGATGGTGTTCGGAGATATTGATGTCATTTGATGTCCTAACCATTGCGGGATGCTAGGGCTCGGGTTGACGCATATACCTCGTGTATCTCGTGTACGTCAATGTACCTGATAACAGTACACCATACATTGCCAGATGAAAATTGCTTAGGAGGCATGAGTCGGCATGAGTGACTATTTGTTCTGTTACTTCCATATCCTTCTATACTGTTCGGTCAGCTTCGGGTCTCCAAGGACTATGGCAAAATGTACCGTAAGGTCGATTGAGTGTGACCTTGACAGGACCTGACAGGATGATTTTGGATGTCAGGTCAAAGGAATCTCGAAAAAGTCAAGGAGTCAAGCACCAGATGAGTTCAGTTTGAAATCGACGCATGAAGAATATCATAGAATATCAATACAAAATCGAGACGACATGCACGAAGATCCTGTCAGACCTGCTACGCCAATGTAATTTGAAAGTTCAAGGGCTGAAAATCATACTCTGTGCCAAGAGCTAAAGGGGCACTGAGATGTACTTTGTCTTGTGAACCGTCCGAGTGAACAGTGATCCTTCCAGCATTTGATGGATCGAAGTAAACCTACCGTTGCACAGCGGTTTTCCATCTCACAGCTGGCAGCCCACACCATGTCTAGAAACCTCTATTCTGTTGCATGATTCTCATGATTTCTTAGGTAATTATTTCTTATGTATTTTCAAGGGTTCTCAGGATTCTCCGTTTCCGCATGTATTTTGCGCCTTATCCTTTCGCCAGCTCTTTGTGACTCTTCCAAAGCATCACAAGTCCTTCCCTTCACCCAACAGGTGGAGGATTGTGACATTAATTTTGGGCCACGAAGACAGATCATAGAAATAAAAAGACCACGGAGAACGCGGCCAAATTATCAAAGGCACTTGGGGACAACACCAAGACAGTAAGTAGCAGCTCACAGAATTCAGAAGTCCCAAATTGTTCAGTCATGTGAATACCTATATAGCTATTTTTGCACGCCATCCCATTTAGGGGTGCATAGTTGTGACCCACACCGTGTGATTATTCTGTATTATCCGATATCCAGCGGAATTTACAGCACTTCTTCTCAGCCCAGTGGACGCTGGTCGCACGGCTGACATACCGACATTTCTTTGGCCAGTCGCAGGGCGGTAAAACTGCCGCATGGCTTAGGAGAGAGTGTGCAAAACAAACATTGGTTGTCGCGTGCAAGAAAACAGAAGCAGCAAGTTGCCACTCGAGGCTTACTCTCTAATATCTAATTATTGTGTTTACTTACTGGAACGATGGACCAAATCATTTCTGCATGGACTCTAGCCAAGATTGTGTGAAGTGAGAAATAATTGGAAACAAAATGATATCAATAAAATAAAACTTCAGTGCATTATTTGGGCAGAAGTAAAGCACCCAGTTTTGATCACTCAGTGGATCTTGTTTCAACTCCGATGCGAATGCGCAGGCGGATCCTTACGTCCAGCAGGTCGTGGCAAAGGTGGTTTCCCCCAGCTGCAAAACTCTGCACGGCTGCAAAACTGGGTTGGTGTAATTTGAGGTATAATTATTTTTTATTATTTTCTTAAAGATCGTTGAGGTGTGTTGAGGTCAAGTGCGATGTGGTCTCAAGCTTGCCGAAACCACTTTCGCTCATCGTAAACCATCCCAGATTGCTTGCATGAATTGCTCCAGCTGCTGTAGAGACAGACAAGTGAGACATGGACGCGTTTGGCTGTGCATTTCCAGCCGCTAAGTCTTGACCTTTTACCGGGGAGCTGTGGAGTTTCAGACTGCCGAGCCCACTTAAAGAAGCAGCTTTATTTTGGGTGAACAATCACATATGACAATATATGAACAGTATCGGATTTGAATGGAGTGTAAACATGATGTAAGTAGGAAACAGCGCAAAATGTTTATCACAAGACCAGGTGGATTGCATGCTTGGAGCCACCAGTCGCAGAGAACTGTTGCCATGGGGCGCTTCAATTCCTGGGCACAAGGACAACTGGAGAAAACAGAGCTCCCAAAGGCTGCTGTGCTAAAATCAGAAGGAAAACCATGACCAGAAAACCCGAGAAAACTGTTTCATGTGCATAGATATGTTACTAGTTGATTAGATTAGATTAGATTAGGTTAGATTAGAACAACCATGAACATATCCTCTATAAAATGAGAGGGGTCAAGGCATGCTGCTATATTTTGTTTTATGTACCTCCAGCTGCAGCCCTTTAGGGGGTCACACACACCCCATTTTATAGTGATTTTAAGGTTGTAGCTGAAATCTGTCAAGATTTGTTCAGGTTTTTGCAGTGCAGCCATGATCCAGGTTGTTCTTATCCGCAGCCATTGATCACTTGATCAAAGATGCCTCGGGTGGGGGCACAACCTCTGAAAGGGAGCCAAGCCCTGTGCCATGTGAAGACATGCTCAGGGAAGATGGGCAAACTCTTTGCATTTCTTGACTTTGCTTCCAATGCCTCCAAATGCCAGCCCTCGCCTTTCAATGGGCCATTTTGGAATAGTGTGGGCTACTTGTATGATTTCCAAGTGCTGCCACCACAAAAAAGGCTGGCCTCAACCTTTCAACCCACGATGAAAATGGTGATTGAGCCAGCACCTGCCATCCTTTTGGGTTGAATTTTTTTGGAAAGCTGGAAATTCAACCCAATCATCAATTTTATATTGGGTTGGTGGGTTGAAGCTTGCCATGTTATAGTGGCTGAATTTGGGGAATTGTGCAAGTAGCCCAAATTAAAACACAGTAGCCCATTGAAAGGCCATGGCCAGATAGAACTGGCATTTGGTGGCATTGGAACCAAACTAAAGGAAGGCAAAAAAGTGGAGATGCTGGCACGTCTTGCTTGGAAGACTTGGAACTCAATCCAGCCACCAAATATCATGTCGGGTTGATGGGTTGAGGCCGCACAAGATGTCCAAAAGTGTTTAGAAGAAGGTCGGGTGCCTAAAGGAGTCATCTCCTTTTGCCCCAATGAACGCAGCCTGGAGGATTGCTTGAGATTAGCTAAATTGCATGATGTACCAGCCGAAACATCCTTTGCTTTAGTTACTTTGCCTCAAGTTGATTCTCCATGTCCAGCTACTGCTAAGGAGGTCATTTTGCCTACATGGGAAGAGGGTCGCCCTCATGTACGCAAGTTTTGGGCTTATGCACTAGGTACGAAGTTGCCTGCGCTGCCTGAGCAGAAGATCCGTCAGAATAAGGTCACAACCCCAGAAACCAGTTTGGTTACTCTCCGTGTTACGGTTGTGCGACACTTTGGAAATAAAGATTCTTGGGAAACTTTCAAACGAAGCCCGGTTGCTGCTGCATCTACTCTATGGCCTGCCCCTGTGATGCACTCCACTTATGGTTGGCAAGAAAAGAAAGTGCAAACCAAAAAGCAATCGGAACCAGATTTGATTCTTCAAGGGTATTTACGTTGCAAACATGAGTTTCGAGGCAAAGTCCTGGCTCACGTGGGTGATGATGGAGTCTTTGCTGATGATCTTGCATCTTCTTCACACCCACGCACTCCTGTTTTCTGGATCCATCCCTTCGATGCTGAGTTACCATCGGCTTACCTAGCCTGTGCAACTTTGGAAGCCAAGAAAGATGGAACCACTTTAGCCCACCGTCGAGGTGGGGGTGCTGCTCTTGGTGTGCGCATGTTGCCAGGCAAACATCGCCCAAGTCTTCGCACATGGGCCTTGCATGGAGTTCCCAAGATTTGGAGTGAGCAAGAAGTTTGTCAATGTCTTGCTGAAGCTGAGTGTGACCAAGTCAGTGTTGTTCGTCCACCCGGCCGATTCAAACATTGGTTAGTTCGTTGCATTGTCAAGAATGATAGCAACCTTGGGGTGATTGCAATTCAAACTGAAAATTTGGTTCTCACTTTGACACGTGAGCAGTCGGCTGTCAAGCGCCATACTGAGGTTGTTAGTCACATCCGGCCCACCCGCTGGCGCCCCGATGTTGAGCCTGCTGTGGCATCTGGTGTGGGGGCGAAGACCCTGGTCCCAGCAAAACACACCCTGTGGGAGATGCGGACAAATCAACTGTTCCCCATGAAAGGCGTGATCGTTCTCGTTCTCCTGCAAAGAAGGATTCTGAGACACCCGTCCCCTTTTCTGACAAAATTGAAGTTCTTGATTGCGGTGCTGGAGGCAATTGTGGGTACCTGTCTTTAGCTATGGCTTTGAGTTTGGAAAAGGGTGAGGCCATTGGAATAGTTCGACCTTTGCTTGAGACTCGGGGCAAAGACCATCCGGCATGACCTCTACAAGCATATGAAAAAGCATTCCAGTGAATATGAAGAGTGGTACAGCCCTGCTCTTCTTGGCACAGAAGAAATTGAGGCCGGCCCAATTCCTGTTGATTGGGAATCTTGGTTGGAGTGCACATTGCGCAATGGGAGATGGATCGACGGCCTGTCGTTGCTTGCTGCAGCTTCTCGGTTTGGCACATGCATTACTGTTATCCCTTGCACTGGAAATCCAAAAGATCGGCCTATGTTTTTCGGCACGCCCAGATCGGGAAAGGCGGCGATCATGCTCCTGTTGCGTGGTAATCACTATCAGCTTGCAACCCTCAAGCCTGGGCGGCAATGGCCTCAGGCATGGATCCAAGCTGAAAAGGCTTCCGTTATTACTGCCTGGTTGCGAGGTGGTGGGAAGGCTGCATTCACTCCCCTTAAGCAGGTGAAAAAGGTCTGGTGTGCAACCCCGAAGTCAAAAGCTTCTTCGGCCAAAGGTAGCTCTTGTAGCAAACGTTCTCGGTGTGATGCAGGCACTTCGGCGTCATCTTGGCGCCCTGCAGAGATTCCCCCACCTTCTAAAACTGCTTCGTGGCGACCATCTAAGACACCCCATCAGGCGGACTCTTGGCGACCTGACAGCACACCGGCCAAAACACCCAAGTCTGGGTTTTCGGGCCCGGATCGTGCTGGAATGCGCACATGGGTTTGTCCAATTTGTGGCATTGTTCGTAAGGGTGTGGATTATGCGCAGCTGGCTCATCTTCGGAGATCTCATGGTAAAGGGTGCCATCCTGAAGTTCCCTGGTCTTTCTTTTTAACTCGTGATTTTATCAAAGTTGTTGAAGCAAGTGAAGACCTTAGTGAAGCTGAGCGCGATTGGCAATGTCCCCTTTGCCTAGCAGCTCTGCCTAAGCAGGCCCAATGGCCTCGACACAAAGCCGTCGCGACGCACAGGGCAAAGTGTCATCCTAAGGTTCCTATCAAAAAGTGGATTGCAGCCATGGTCAGCAAACGTCACAAAGGTACTAAGAAGCCAGAGACGTCTGAGCCAACTCGTGCT